AAATATTATCAATGTACTAAATTAGCATTCATTATGTATTACTTTTAAAATTCTTCTTTTACTATCTATTGATATAAAACAGAGATATTGATTACATTCAATAAAAGTAAATAAAATTTTAAAAGTATGTAAAAGTTATTAAATATTTTATAAAAATATGAACTGTCTCTTCTAAAATGTAACATATATCAAAATATAAGTGTATTATTTTAGAAAGCAAATAGCGAAACAACCAGAATAGATTATAATGCACTGATTTCATACTCATTCCTTTCACTGTACCAATTTAGTGACATTTTGGATAAGGATTAGAGATACATGCATAGCATTCCTGAGATATTTAGCTAGTGAAATTGACTGTTGAATACTGTGAATTAATTTATCTGAGTTGGTTGTTTTTAAAAGGCTTCTTTAGAATAATCCACTTCCCGATATACTACTATACTATAGTATCTATCCCACTTTATAATTTATACCAGTTGTTTAATTTGCTGGCAACCACCTTTGAAGACATTCTATTCATTATTTAATGTTCAAGGTCATGGTCATGGTCCTTGTCTTGGCAGTAGCGTTTTGCTTACAACACAACATGGCCCCTCCTGCTCCTTGTCCCTTCCTTTATAACAAACCAACCATCAACCAACTTCCACTTCTTTTTTCCAACCTAAATCTACTCATAATAACACCATAATCACATTTAAACTTCCACACTCATGACTAATCAGATAACTTTATAATATCATCATCTAAAATTTGCAGAGAAAACAATGTCAAATGCTATCATCACTCCTTCAAGAATGTATCAAGTTCAAACCTTGCAGTTCCAACTTCCAATTCCAACAGTCTCTGCTGAAACCTTTTCAAGTTTCTTTTTCCTAACCAGAAAAAGGTTACAACGTTAGTTGGGTTTAAAAATGTGTCTGGATAAGCCCCTTAAACACAGTGCCATGTGCTTTGTTTGAGATAATTAATATACAACAAGTTTTATATATAAATATATATAGATATACCTGGGTGGAGGTATGTCAGCATCATATGTTTTTATAATTAGCAATGTTGTAAACATAATTATATTGCAAACTCCCAAGTTGTAACGTGGTCCTGCCTGTTAGAGCACTGCATGATCCAACACGTGACACGCGCGTGCGTATCTACCTAACGTGCATAATACTATTACTCACAGCGATGCACACATTGTCAACCCAACTGTTCACACACACGGTGTCATCATGTCATGTCTCAGTGCACAGAAAACAGTGACTCGTGTCACCTTGTCTAATTTCAAGCATACTCAACGATATCCAATTCAATCCAATATAATAAAATAAAATCTTAACCCACATCCACCATGTCCCGACAAAGCCAAACTCCAAAGTTAAGTTTGCATATTTACGCTGCCTTGAAGAAGATCAGATGCATATAATAATAAACTCCATTGCCTGAAAAAGTTAGGACTTTTAACATAAAACATGTTCATCTAATTCACAAGACAGGACAAGCAGCGATACAATATTCTCTTAAAAAATAACAAGGCAAACATCATCTTAACCAGTACACTGATACACTGATATGATTCCCTCACACATTCATTCATTCGTCCATCCCCAACACATTCATATGCCCCACCACATTGCAGTCAAACACTATTCTAGCTTGGTAAATGGGACTATAAGGTCAAACCCACCACCTATTTTGCTTTTCTTTTCACTTTTTGGGCTCTACTATCTATCATTACATTATTGAACAACTGCTGCTTGTGTTGTCATCACTGAACATGTGAGTCGCAGAGTGATCATCACCCCCAGGGTAACTAGGCAACCCATAGGAATAGGCGTATTGTGCAGGGCTGTAGCTATTGCTATGGTTGTAGTAATAGCCAGTGTTGGGGGGAATCAAGGGAGACCTGTGATACATCATCTGGGGCTGTTGTTGCATGGCTTGTCTAGCCTGCATGTTCATGTTCATGTTCATCATCAATGGCGATGGGGATGGATGGTTGTTGAACCCATTCATGTTCATTAACAGAGAAGATGGGTATTGCCCAGCACCAATACCTCCATTTGAAAAACCTGCAGAGGACCCTGGAATCATGTTATTGGACTGAACAGGAAAACCTCCCATGCCACTAGAATTATTGGCTCCTAGAACAGTGGCACTGGTGACATTGCCACCGTTACCGTTAAAACCAGCCATGTTCATCATGGCCCCAATGTCATTGGCCCTTTTCGCTTCACCAAGATTGAGGCCGAGGCCTTCACCACCCACATGACCACCGTTCAATTTTAAGGCTGCCATTGTTTTCTGATCAAGCCCCCCATTCGGACTCTCCTTCATTCCCATATTCGGATTCGGGCCTCCTTTCTTGCCACCACCACCACCACCATTGCCACCACCATTGTTCATCTTACCATTGATGGCACCTGCTCCCATGCCCCCCATACTTTTCCTCACATTTGCATTAGCTGTTTGCTGCTTGAGCATCTGCAGATGATGGGCTTTCTCCCTTAGAAACCGCATTTCTTCATCTTCGTCCTCATCATCGTCTTCGTATTCAGAGTAGTATTCATCCTCTTCAGAACTAAAAGCAGGAAACTTTTGCTGGTTTTTGAAGGCATCAAGCCCCTTGGGAAGGCCTTGCTTCTGTCCTTTGTTCTTGTCATCCTTCGCGTTGGTGTTCTTCTGCTTTTGGTTCTGGTTTGTTTTCTGAGACCAGAGCTCGGCATATTTACCAGCTCTCACCAGCTTCTTGATCAAGGTTGCAGAATCCACACTACCTGAAACCGTTACTTTCTGCTGTTCTGCATCTATTTGAACTTGGTAAACACCTGCAGACCAACAAATAACCAGAATCTCAATAAACTGTAAGAACAATAGATAAACCTGAAAATCTACCCTACTTGAAAGACAACGAAAAGGGGACATTCTTCTAAACAATTTACCAAATCCTTAACATGATCCAATCTGTACATAAACGAAGGTCAAACTACCACAGGTTTCCAACATCATAATTGAAAGCCCAACTTCCCATAGATAGTTTCAAAACAAAATATCCATAGTTTGTCTACATAAAGGAGTAAGTCAGTACTTAATAAGCTTAACAGTTACTTATTTTGTTTTCATTTAATTATCATAGCTTGTTGAAAGAAACTTTAATGCTACTACTCTTCTTAATTTAGGTATGATTCTTTCCACCTACTAAAAACTTTCTCACAACTTTTCATGTTCCGTACACTATGTAGTGAAGAAAAACAAAACAAGGAAAGCTAGAGATAATGTAGACAAGAATGAGCATAGTGAATGAACAGTAAGAGCAAGAAAGGATATAGAAAACTAGAGAAGTGAAAAGGAAAGACCTTCAATTCTCTGAAGGAGTTTCTTCACTTTGTGCTTACACCCATCACAGTGAATGTTAACTTTGAGAACACAAGTCTGTAGATGAAAATGAGACGAAACAAAGCAACCAAGTAAAGAAAACAGAAAGATTCCTCAGGAAAAGACTAACAAACAACTTTGCCGTGTTCATAGAAAATGGAATTTAAAAAAAAAAACAGAAAAGATGTCTTAAAAGAAAGACAGAAAGCATGTGTTGGATAAGGGAGAAAGACCTGGATCTTAAGGAGCTTAAAGTCTTCTTCTTTAGTCATTTCTTCAGTGCTGTTTGGAACGAAACACGCTCCCTCTTTTCTCTCTCCCTCTGTTTGCAACCAAAAAATAAGCTCCTTAAGCAAACGGTAAAAGGGGTTGCATGTGAGTTTCTACATCTTATAGATTCTACTGTCTCTCTTATACTGGCTAGTAGTAAAAGTAGCCACTCTTCTATCTCCCTCTCAACCAGTTTTCCAAGCAAACAAAACAAAGCCACATGGGCTTCCAACATAACTTTTTAAAATAGCATTTCAATTTTATGTATCATGTTAAGTTGTATTTTAAAATGTAGAAACTTTAGACAATTCAACACATTATTAGCAGAATAATATAATATAATATTTAAAATCAAATTTAAAAAATAAGAGTTGAAGCAAAAAATGACAAATGCCAATAAAAGAATTCAAAAGGAAAAGGAAAATGAAGGGGGAGAGAGAGAGAGGAGGTCTTTCTACTTAAATTAATAAAATTAATAAATTAAATTATAAAATTTTCAATTTTGATTGTAAAAATAATTTCTCACAACTAAATTAATTAATTAATTAGTTATATTAAAATGAATATTCTTCAATATATAGCAATCATATCAAATTAATTTGAACATATGTGTACTTTCAAAATTCTTAAATCAAAATTTAAATTTGAACATATTGACTTCTTTATTGTCTAATCAACCTAATGAAAATAAAATATGCATATAAAAGATTCAAAATATAAAAATAAAAATCAGTTTTTATCATCAATAAATTTCATCCCAATTGAATGTGTTAATAAAATATTTAACAAATATTTGTATTAATTATATATAAAAGTAAATTATAATTTATTATAAAAATACATATTGACAATCATTTATTAAATAAAAATCCTTGATTAAAAAGAATTAAAATATATTTTTATCAAGGACAATTTATTAAAAAATACTATTTCATTCTCAAAATTGAAACACTTTTTTAATCGATTAATTAACCAAATTCTTTTTATGTTTATTTGACAAAAAAAAGGAAAATAAAATCTGAAATTGGAGTTGTCATATATCCCTGAAGTCCAACTAATGATGAAGTAAAATAAAAGATGAGAATTGAGATAGAGGTAAAAGAAGAATGTAGATTGAAAAAAAATAAAAAAAAGGTTAGAGAGATAGAGAGGAGAGAGAATGATGGATTGTTCTGAGCGATTTGATTTGACATGGTGACGGAAAACAATAAAAGAACAACAGCGACTTCACATTCATACTCTCTTCCCTTCCCATTCCAATAATAAACATTTTGAAAATTTTATCCATAAATATATCATAACAAATAAAAAAAATTAAAATTTTAATATTTTTGTAAAACAGAGCCAAACATGACTAGGTGCAATAACTGTCTTGTTAAGAGCTTATTCTACCAAAGTAACTTTCTTAGTTGGATAACTACTGTTTTGTTTGTTTGTACCAAGTTCTACTGTCACTACATTCATTGGAACAAGCAAAATACTTTATTAAAAGAAAAGGCATGCTGGTTCTCATTTAAACTTAGTTTTACTATGGCACATGTTTTAATACAAAACTTAACCTCTAAGATGATTTTAAATACAAGAAAATATCTGTAAATTGCCGTTGTACTGAACTGCCTTCAAATATAAGATTTGCTTTAACGTCTTTCTTGCGAACATCTTGTTAAGAGAAATTTCTTGAAAAAGTTTATAAACAATACGTATGTGTAATGAAAGAGTCGTATGGTTGAAGAACACTTCATATATTGACAAAATGTTCTGAAAAACAGGTACTTTCCAGTGCCATAATAAACTCATTATTAAAGGGAACTAGAATGTTTTTTAATAATGTTTCTATCTCACTGTCTCTTATCCAATTTTCATTTTTGGAAAAGTTAATTTATTCTCACAACAAGGAAGTGCAGGAGGGAATGCATGAGTGGTAGTAAATTGGTGGGGTACAGAAAATGAGTTTTTATTAAAGATTAGGTTATGGAAAACGATGATACTACACTTGTTCTTCCACCATGTTACTCACAATACAATGAAGAGTTTCACCGTACCTCGGTGACAGTTGACGATCCCTGGTTTGCGACCATTGTCTGAGGCTATTTTTTCGCCATCCAAATGCAAATATTGTCACCACTTGTTTGTCACTCATATTCTACTATCATTCCCTGCTATGCATGGATCAATGGTTTTCTATTCATTGCAGCAACAAATGAAATTCCATGTCACATTGTATAGGTCATATTCTCCTATTAATTTAATTTCAGATTTAAACATGTAATTAAGTTTAAAAAAGTTAATTAATTTTGATGAAAAGTCAACTTTGGAATCCATGGTTATGAAAGTGCATAAAAAATTGCACAGTTGTTAAAGTGGAACTACATGATGTGAATGATACATGCAATCTGGTAAAAAAGAATATGAATGACTTGACCTAAGACTGAATTTTGTCACGTGAGAATGGAACCACTCCTTTGTCTCTTCATCATTCGTTTGATCAACTTCTCTATAAGGAATGATGCCATGTACACAGAGGTCAATGGAAGGTTTCATGATATTTTTGGATCAACATCGAATCAAAGAAAAAAAAAATTCGGAAATTCCCATCTTCGTCACAGGGACAAAACACCTGTATCATAAAACATTTAAATCTCAAAATCTACTTACAGTATAAATATTTTTATTTAAATATTGCACCAAGAATTAATTTTATTGAAATTAAAGATTAATCTTACTACAAAGAACAGAAACGATGTACAGATGGAGCAGCTAAGTCCAAGTGCACATATTCTCAGGTGACACCAACATTGAAACAAGTGGTTATTGTTAGTATTACTGTACACAATGTAATTTTTTGGAGTCACAAGAAATTGACTTGCAGATTTTGTGGTTTTAATCATGATTAACGTTGTAGCATATCTTCTCCAATGACACTAACAGTTGGGTCAGGGTGATGCAATAGAGGAGACAAGTACTTTAAGACGACAAAAGAGAGAATCTTAGTGGGAAAAGCCTGAAACAGTCTCCACCCTAGCTTACTCGTATTTAAGATCCTAATATTCCATACGTATGCGTCATTGACACTGTGATCCAATTCTCCAAACAGTTTTTTATTTTTCACATCAAAGTTTTTAAATGCGCACTACTAAAGTTAATTTACATAGGTCACAGAATCGGTCCTTCTTTAAATAACATTAAATTGAAAAACGAAAAAGAAAAACAAGAATATCGGGTGTGGTGATGAAAAGGTTTCCCAAGGCAGCAGACGAGGTATACGAGGGAGGAAAGAGAATGTTGGGTTGCAAAATTTGAAAAGGTGAGAATTGGTAGAGAGTAGGGTAGGGGTTAAGTGGTGTTATAACTAAGGTGAAAGGTGAAGGAGGGAAAAGCAAATAAGAAATTGAGTTTTGAACCTTTTGTGGATCCAAATTGTAAGCATAGTTCATGGTTTAAAAGCTATTTATGGTAGGGAGAGGGGAATTTTGAAGTGAAATGAATGAGTTTATTTTTTGGTATTTTGATAGGCTGTGATATAGGTCTACCACTGTGAGAGGCATTGGCAGAGGGAGAGAGAAAGTGCACGCAATCACACAAAGGCTGTGAAAAAGTTGGGGGAGTAGAAAAGAGAAGAGAAGAGAAGAAGAGGGTGGGGTTCAGTCACCACTGTAACCTCTTGTTAGGTCATCATTACTTCCTACTCCCAAACACCTGCATCTTCTCCAACACATCAATCTTTTTCCCCGGCTTTTATGTCTTTGCTTCTCGGTTTAAAATTGTCATTACAATTCCAACAGACCATGTTTTGTTACATTATCAAAGGTAACTCTTTTTTGCAGATTAAACAGAACAGCTTTCCCATGTTAATTTTTGTGTAATGAATATTATTACACGAGTCGTCTGATGTGGTGGGTTTGTACAGTCTGAGATGAGGTGGGATTTGTATTGTATTGTATCGGATCTGATACGGTTGGTATTTCATATCCAAAAGTCATAAATGGCAACAGTGAGCATGGGGTCCCCCCCTAGTAGCTTTGAATGGGACGTGTCCCATTCTTTTCCTGCAACCCGCTTTTAGCATTTTCTTCTCATTTCATGCCAAAAGATATCCACAATTTCACACTGCTAATTTCACTGTCATTAGATCTAAACAACAACCTACTTAATCTTCCATCACACGTTTCTTTTTTCTTTTATCATGTTTACCTTATTCTCGTAATTTCTTTTTGTATTTCTATATTCAACCACATAAAGTAAGTAACCCATAGCAGAATGTTACAAGACCTGTGATGATGATTCGTGAAAAAAGAGAACCTTACTACAGTGATAAAGTCCTCGGTTTGAATCCATCATTTCGTCAAAGTCCAAGGCTAACTTTTTTTAAAGTACAGTTAAATAGTTTAAATGGGTTGAGGTCAAATTATCTGAAAGAAAATGGCAAAAGTGGTTACAGCAAAAGCATATATTGGCATATCGCACTTTAGCGAAAGTATTCGAGAGTAGAGGAAAATGGTGTGCAAGAAGAAAGAGAAAGAATAAGCCCAAACTCTAACTCCAACGCAAATTTTTGACCCATCAGGCTCTAACTCCAACACAGTTTTATTTTTGCTCTCCCAACAATTACTCCAAACATTAAAATGCTTCACTAACAGACAAAAAGTGAAAGGCAACCCGTGGGTAAGAAATGACCTAAAAATAGTAACTGTAAATTTGTTGGAATCAACTCCACAGAAACTTCAAACCAGTGTTTCTTCATTTCTTCAATTTTTGTTATCGTAGACTGCTGCACTACTTTGTCCTTGTTCCACCCAAACAAGCATGTTCCCACTCTACACTCGAACAAGGAACAGTTATCACTATTATAACCACATAGCATGCCTCTCTAATAACACTGCAACACAATACATTCTGAAAACCTACTCTGCCACTCAAACTGCCTTCAAGATATGGAATAAAGATATCAACCCAATATAGAACTTCATTGTTAGTTATATCTTCCTCCAACACTGCAATGCATCTTTCACGTAAACGTGCAACTACCATGCTAAAGTCACACCCATCATCTATGTATAGTATTGTTAGCTACGTTTGAAAAGTAAAAATATGCTCCTCTTGTAAACACTCCTTCAATTATGGTATATTCATACCCTATAATAACATTCTTTACGTGTTCTAAATACATTATTTGAAAATTTTGGCTTAATTATTCTTTTAGTTTCCGTAGCTGCACTGATTTTTTGGATTAGCTATTACACTTAACAACTCTAGAGTGAATAAATATAAAATTGATAAATGTTCTATACTGGTAATATCATATAAATAAATTCAAGATTTATAAATGAAAAGATGACATTGTTATAGAATATAATGATGATTAAACTCAAAAGATGCTACTCATTCCAAAAGCCCAGTGGATGAAAAGTGTGGAGGAAAGTTTGAAGAAAGGAGAATGAGAGGTAGATCGAGAAATTATTAAGATGATAAAAGTTAAAGTCTAGAGTATGTCGGATGAAAAAAAAAGGTATTTATTCTTTACGCACCCCCACAATTTCTTCACCCGCCTCCAAATTTTCAAAATAATCAATTTACTCTTTGTAAAAGTGACTTCTCAATTATCTAGAAACTTTTTGGAACAGACTTTCTAAAACTTTTGAAATATCATTTCCAGAATAGGATTTCCATGATAGATTTTCTGGAATAAGACTTTCATAACATTTTCAAAATGCTTGAAATAAATTTCAAAATAAGTTTTGGAACGAGTTTTCCAAATCAAGCTTTGTAAAATGAATTTTTTTCACAAAGTCTTCTCTCTCTTCTATCTTTCTCTGTAACAGCATTTTTTTTCTCTCTTCTTCTTCCTCTCCAACGACAACAATCATAAAAGTGGTGACAGCAAAGCTGATGTAGAAAAAAAAAGGGTTCTTTTAATCTTCTTAAATTGGACTGGATGTATTTAGTAATGATGGGGTGCAGGAAGAAAAGGCACGAAAAAGCCCATTAGGACTTGTACTAAAAATTAAGTGGGCTTTCTCTTGGCCATTTAAGAGACAACCTAATATTAAACGTGGATAATTCTTCCAATCAAAATTTCATCATTATGTTATCAAACACTCCTTTTACTAATCTCAACATCTTTTAGTAGCATTATTTTATTTGATTTCGTTATCACATATAACAATAGAAAAAGCAGAAAATTCAAGAAATTATAATTCAGCTCAATCATCGAACTTAAGACGCTCATTTGCAATATCAATCAAGAAAGAACAGGAATGCTTTGGTTATGGTTGCTGTTCCCCCAAGTGGAAGGTTGCTTTGCCAAATAATAGCCCTCTATTCTTTTTTCAACTATAGGTTTTATGGAAATGGAATATAAACATGGACCCCTTCTCTTTTTGTCCCCTAATCAAAACAAAAAAAAAAGAAAAAAATAACCTAACTCGATAGAGATAGAGCAGTTAATTATTGTATTCATATTTGTTCCTTTATTGTTCCATCTCTATCTCCACATTGGCTGGTAAGAAAGTGCAATCACTCATTATGCATTTGCATTCAATGCAAAACCAAAAAATCTTCTCTACTTGTGGTAACAAAAACCTTTTTGCTTTTATGCTTTTTCAAGAATTTTCTGAGACAAAAAGATAAGTAAGTTTCCTTTGTATCTTATTCCTAGAAGTAAAAGCTACCTTCTTCAAGTGATTTCATACCAAGTAGAAGCCTTGAGTTCATATTATTCATGATTGTGTGAAAAAAAAAAACGTAAAGGTTCTAGCTTCTCCGTCCCATTGGTATTTGTCTGAAACAATTTGTGATGTAACAAAAACATCTAATTAGCATGAATTATTGATGACCAAATATCCCAATCACATTCACCTTTCAATATATATATATATATATATAGCTATGGAAACCAAATGTATGGTATACATTGCTGGCATAACCATTGTTGATTTTTCACAAATTTAAACATGAGAAATTGATTGAGTGAATTCTATTATGATAAAAGTAATTCTTTATGCTACTGTTACCACATCATAATCCTTTTCCCAAAATTAAAGGGAAAGCAAGATACTTCTGTGTCCACAGTTTGACAAACATTACAACAGTTTCTTTTTTTCTGTTATTCTATTTGAAGGCAAATATATTATTCTATTTCTTTAATTAACAACCATTTTGAGATGTTATAACAAGTAAATTAATCGGATAAAAAGTTAACATGGGTCCTCATTCCGTAATTCTGGGGTTAACCATTTTTCTTGCATTATTTTGATGGATTAGACCTTGCTCTCATCTTTCAACCACCTAAAACAGTGAGATGCAAGTGACACTCTATCTCAAGAACAACTTGTCATTCATTAATGGCATTTTAAAATATATTAAATATGCATAATAGACAAATAACATATATTTCCAAAGAAAAAGTTAATTTTAGACGTCATGAAATTTAACACACAAAAAAAGAACTTATTTAGAGTACAGAAATTTACCTTTTACTATTAATTAAATTTAGTATAATGGTTCGTTTTGTAATTAAATTATAATTTAAAGAATACTATGGCTCTATAGCAGTTTACTTTACAAATGAGATAAACTTGAATTAGTTTATTAAGTTAGTGAACAATAAAAATATATGAGGTGAGCTTAATAAGGAAAACGAGTTGAACCAAATGCCTTAAGTTTATACAAGTCAATAAAAAAATTGTTCAGACGAGTTTAGGTAAAAGTTTAAATTTAATTTCTAAATGAAAAATAAAATAAATTCGAGTTTAACCTCTTTAACTCGTTCATAATTTAATGGACAAAAGAACTAATCTATAATCAATTTTACTTATATTATTGAGTTTACTTTTTGCTAATATTTTTCATAGATTTGTTAAAAACAATACTTTATTTCATATTGTATTTCCTCTTTGAATTAATTCAACTCTCAATAAAAAAAATCTACAAATAGAAAATACAAACATATTTACATAAAAAAATGGCATTAAAAGGACTAAACAAAAGTATTTCATACAAATAGTGGTATTCCTGTAATATTTTTTTTTAAGATGTGTCTGTGCAAGTGTGTAGCAAATAAAAAAACGATGAATAACTGTTTTAAGAAATATTTTATAAAATTGTTTTCATATAAATAATGGTGCTTATATAGTTTTTAACTTTACTTCTACGTGTATATGCATGTATGTAGGAAATAAAAATAATTTTCTTACAAAAAAGATTACCATTTGAAAGACTGTAAGAAAGTGTTTTCATATAAAAAGACAGTATCTATGTAATTTTAATTTAAGTAGTTAACATCTAATCCAAATATTTATGAATAATTTAGATCATCTGCACTCTTAAATTACAATTTGAAAAACTCGATGAAAAGTGTCTTATTGCTAAAGTAAATTTGTACAACATTTTTCTAATTTATAATAATCTTACTTTTGCGTATACAAAAATTATCATGTAAACAAAATGGTTATATGTTTTTAATTTTGTAAAGCAAGTTTTGATTGTCGCCTTATGTTGAGCTATATTTTATCTTTCGTTATCATAAAACGCTAATTAATTACTTATACTGAAACACAGGTAACTCAGTCATTTTAGATAATTCATAATTAAATTGTGATATATTTTATTTATGTATTTATTAATAGGAATGGAAATAATATTTAAAAATTTGGAGGAATAAAACTAAAATGTATACATAATATAGGGATTAAAAACAGTAATTTTATGAAAATGAAAAGGCTATTTGGATTAAAATAAAAATTCACTAATTTTATATAATTAAAATATATTTAAGCCTACATAAAATTATAAAAACTATTTTCGAACGTCCAATAAAAACGAAAAGTGATAAAGTAATTTGTGAAAACTTATTTTATATAAATTAAAGACAATTAGGTAAGTATGTGAGTAGGAAGTTTTTGTAGTGGATGTAACATTGTTTAAGATATAATATAAGTAAGAAATATAAGATCAGTGATTAAAATTTAAACACAAGTACAGAGCTATGAATGCAGAATTTCCATGTATTCCTCCAAGTTCTATACTAACTTATAAGCAGAACCAAAATTGTAGCCATTAAAGAAACACAACTCAGCTAAGAAGAACCTAAAAATAGTTTCCAATAAATTATATATATATATATATATATATATATATATATATATATGCAGAGATGAAGCAGTGAAGCATATGAACTTGCAAGGTAGCTCTGATCTTGTACTGAAAATGGTTTACATGATTAAACATGCATTAGGGTTGTCATCACTGAAGAGAGATGTGAGTTTCTCATCGTTTGGGTTGGGGAATGCTTGTTCAGTGTTTTTCACATACCCAGATGGTGCCTTCTTGTCATATGCTTGTGCCACGTAGGGATATGCAACCAAGTTGTACTGAATATAAGGCCAAAACTCAGCTATTTTTCCTGTTCCTTGTACTTTCTTTAGGACCTTGTTTCTATCCACGTAACCTGTTACTGTTACCTTACTTTGCTTTCTATTCACCTCTACCTCTTTCACACCTGGATTCATGCTTTCAAATCAGTTCAACCTCATTATTTTCTCCACTTACCAACACCATTTGAATAAACCAAATTAATTAGCAAACTACCAAAAACCTTTTTATGATACAGGACAAAATTTAGATATGTACTACTGTTCTTTCTTTCATCTCGATATTTTACATGATAAAGATTTGCAGTAAATATTAGTATTGTTTATCAGATAAAACTGTGATAAACTTAAAAAAGTAATCTATGAGATTTGCAGTGTATATGCTGATTTACCACGACAGAAGGTGAAAATAGTAAGAATAGTAAGGTATTGCTTGAAAAATTTAAAACTGAGAGTGATTGATTATAAAGAAGAAAGATACCAACCTGACATGTTGGAAACAGAATTGCGAACTCTTCTTTCACAGCCATCACAGTCCATCTTCACTTTGATTTCAACTGTCTGCAAGACAAAAGGGTTGAAAAGGAAAATAAAATCAGAATTTGCTTGAGACTACAACCACCATGAATGAAACACATACACAAACATGGTTTAGGAGGTCATGAAAACCTGCATTGGTTTGCGTTTCTTTTTTGGGGTGGAAACTGAGAACTAGTCAGAAAGGAAATAGAGAGCACCCATTTTGTTGGTTCTTTTTTAGCACAAAAAATGAATGGAGAACTAAAACAGAAGTTTGAACAGGACAGAGGAGAAGAGAAAGAGAGAGAGAGAAAGAGAGATGAAGTGAAAGCAAATTAAAGAGTGAGGGAGGGAAGATGCTTTATTTATAACAATATTTTGGGATACCAAATTGTGCATTTAAAAGGGTCTCTCCTTAATATATGCATTACTTGTGGTAAAGTTGAATGTATAAAATAAAGTTAGATAAGGACATTTGTATGTAATTATGTTTTGTCTTCATAAATATGTGACCAAATAGCCACTTGACTTGATGGTGAATAGACAAAATTATTGAATGCAGACAGTGAGTTATTTGATAATGACAGGGCTAAAATATTTATCATGAAGCCGCACTCTAGCTGCTATCTTTTGCTCAAACAAACACACATTTTTTCAACTTTTAACCTTCTTTTCATTGTTCTGCACCATCCTGTACTGGCTAGCTTTTTCACAACGATTTGACTTCAGGCTGCATGACTCCCCTGAAACTTCATTTAAAACTCCTTTCTTTGAGCCACTGATTCACACAAAGAAGCCAACATTTTCAACAAAAATATGTTTATTTTATCAAAAATATCTTTCAATAGACAATAAGGAACCAGTTTGTACTTTTAAATGTGTACATTATCAGAAGACAGCTAATAGTAAAATTATTAGTAAGATATCAAAACTGAAAAATAGTTGAGCATATTCTCCACTCAAACAAGTATAACTAAAGAAAACAACTTAATCACTAATTTCATTACAGTCATAGAAAACATCTCCATTAATTCGATGGATCTTTTGTCCTTTATTTTTGGTGGAAATGATGGTGATGGATCGTTTAATTTGAATGTCAATGTTTCTGTCTTAACAGTGGAGAACTGTAGAAAATCTATCATATCTATATATAAAACAGTTACATGGACATGGCCAATTTTGAAGTGTCAATGTTGTTATCTAAACAGTGGGAACCCATTACAAATTCATTCTTATCTCCCTCTCTCTCACTCTTTCTCTATCTCTCTCTGTATACTTTTTAACAAACAAATTGTTTGAAAGATCTATACATGTATATATAACAGATAGTAACTTTCATAAATTAAGCTTTCTACCACAACTTGGTTGTGTTGCATTTTGCATGCATGAATGAGATGCAAAGTGAGTATAAGTTTTGTAGCTCAAGCTAGCTGAGCAACAGAGTTTGTTGATTTTACACTCAACGCGCATAGTGAGTTGTAATCATGCCAACAGCTTCCAGAATAATAGAAAACTCTGAAAATTAAACTGTGTGAAACTAATTTGATTTTTTGGTGTTTTTCTGGAATGTTGAAGCTTCCACATGACAGCAAATAAAGAAAATATATAGAAGTTGGGGTTTGCATCAGAAGAAGCCAAAGGGCTTTCAAATCAAAGAGTTGAATGCATGGTGTTATTTACTTGTTAACCTTCTACACCTGTGACTCTTGTAAAATTTAATTGGATGGGTCCATTTTCATACATTATTCAAACGTATACATCCACAGATCAATGGAAGTGAGAGAAAAAGAGAATGGAATGATAGAATTTGCATGTCCATGTATTCATTTTGCTGAGTCTCCTGGGGCCTCCATTATTGTCCATGGTCACCATCCTTATCCGTACATGTTTCTCTTGTCTAGGATCAACCATTGCCACTTCCTCTCCTAAGCTCTAGACTTTTCCTTCAAATCAATCAACCATAACCTACATCAAAATTGTACAGTTATTTCTCCACTATTTCAATTTCATACTTAAAACCTCCATTTATGTACAATTTACTGTCTATTAAGCTCCTTCCTTCTTGTTTTTTTTTTTACTGTAATAGTGCAATTTTTTATGATATACCTCGATCGTGCTGTTATGATATACCTCGATCGTGCAATTCCCGTGAATTTGGAGCTATTTTAAGCTTTTTAGAACCGTTTAGTCATTTATAAAGTAAGGAAAGCAAAATTATTTTAAAAGAAACGAACCAAATCGAACTTAACCGAACTGAACGAAGTCAAACCAAACCGAGCTGAACCGAATCCAATCAAACCGAGCTGAGTCAAACTGAACCTAGTCGAGTCGAGCATACTTGAGTCAAGCCTAGCCGAACCGAGCCAAGCTGAATCGAGTTGAACAGAATCGAGCCAAACTAAACTGAATCGAACCGAACCAAGTCAAATCGAACCGAAACAAACCAAACCGAGCCAATTTGCACCGAATTGAACCAAGCCCACCCGAGCCAGCCGAACCGAATAGAATCGAACAAAGCCTAGTTGAGCCGAGCCAAACCAATTCGGTTATGTTCTTTTAGGATAATTTAGCTTCCCTAACTTGATAGATGACTAAAATAGCTTCAAATGCATATGAACTTCTATTTGCTCATACGAACACAAGCATGATTAAGGTACACAGTTATGACTTGATCAGTAGAGAATCTTATAAAAGACTAAACTTCACATGCAAAACAAAAAGGATTAGCATGCAGGGAAGAAGCAACATATCCAAAAAGATGAACAGAAAATCAACCTACTCTATTTGAGGAACTGATCGGTTAGACTTGAAGATCTCACCGCCATATCACTATAGCGGTTTCTGATCTTCAAACACATAATAAACCAAGAGCAATAATTTTTAGAAAGAAATTAAATAATTCTAGAAATGGTTTTTTTGTAATGTGTGTTTTAAAAGGATTTTCTTATTAATACTCATTTATCTCTTTTCCAATTCTTAAATTTCGGTTTACATGTGATATATAATTAAACATTCACTTTTGCTTTATGTTACATAGAAGAGATATTCAAAATCACATACTAATTTTTCTTTCAATTTGATTTCGTTGATTTATTTTGTTAATTTTGTCGTATTTTTATTATTGGTATTATAGATATTAAAATATTAATAGTACGTAAAACGATAATATATATATATATATATATATATATATATATATATAATTAATACAAAAATAATGTAATAATAATTTTTAAATTAGATCGTCTAAAAATTATTACCTTATTTTAATTTTTTATATTTCTCTTTGGCTAAATATTATCCTCTCTTTTTTTTCTCTTTTTCTTACCTATGTATTTGTTGTTCTTTTTTATCGTCAAACATAATACAAAAGTCGTGCTTTCACTCTGTACATGATCAAATATATTACATTTAAATCTTGATTTTAAATGAAAGGATTTATAAGGTTATACACTTTTTCATATATTAAGTATTTAGTATTTTATCACTTTGAATATTTTTTTAAGCATCAACATTTAAATTAATTTTAAATCTTAAATTTTACCATAATATTTTCATAATAAAATTTACAGAGGTTTGTTTGTTCATAATTCTTAAAAAAATAAGTTTGCTTATAAATTAAAATTAGTTTATACATGAGTTAATTGGTAAAAGGCATTTGTTTTTTTTTTTCAAAATATGGTTTTAAAATNAAGCCTAGCCGAACCGAGCCAAGCTGAATCGAGTTGAACAGAATCGAGCCAAACTAAACTGAATCGAACCGAACCAAGTCAAATCGAACTGAAACAAACCAAACCGAGCCAATTTGCACCGAATTGAACCAAGCCCACCCGAGCCAGCCGAACCGAATAGAATCGAACAAAGCCTAGTTGAGCCGAGCCAAACCAATTCGGTTATGTTCTTTTAGGATAATTTAGCTTCCCTAACTTGATAGATGACTAAAATAGCTTCAAATGCATATGAACTTCTATTTGCTCATACGAACACAAGCATGATTAAGGTACACAGTTATAACTTGATCAGTAGAGAATCTTATAAAAGACTAAACTTCACATGCAAAACAAAAAGGATTAGCATGTAGGGAAGAAGCAACATATCCAAAAAGATGAACAGAAAATCAACCTACTCTATCTGAGGAACTGATCGGTTAGACTTGAAGATCTCACCGCCATATCACTATAGTGGTTTCTGATCTTCAAACACATAAACCAAGAGCAATAATTTTTAGAAAGAAATTAAATAATTCTAGAAATGGTTTTTTTGTAATGTGTGTTTTAAAAGGATTTTCTTATTAATACTCATTTATCTCTTTTCCAATTCTTAAATTTCGGTTTACATGTGATATATAATTAAACATTCACTTTTGCTTTATGTTACATAGAAGAGATATTCAAAATCACATACTAATTTTTCTTTCAATTTGATTTCGTTGATTTATTTTGTTAATTTTGTCGTATTTTTATTATTGGTATTATGGATATTAAAATATTAATAGTACGTAAAACGATAATATATATATATATATATATATATATATATATATATAATTAATACAAAAATAATGTAATAATAATTTTTAAATTAGATCGTCTAAAAATTATTACCTTATTTTAATTTTTTATATTTCTCTTTGGCTAAATATTATCCTCTCTTTTTTTTCTCTTCTTCTTACCTATGTATTTGTTGTTCTTTTTTATCGTCAAACATAATACAAAAGTCGTGCTTTCACACTGTACATGATCAAATATATTACATTTAAATCTTGATTTTAAATGAAAGGATTTATAAGGTTATACACTTTTTCATATATTAAGTATTTAGTATTTTATCACTTTGAATATTTTTTTAAGCATCAACATTTAAATTAATTTTAAATCTTAAATTTTACCATAATATTTTCATAACAAAATTTACAGAGGTTTGTTTGTTCATAATTCTTAAAAAAATAAGTTTGCTTATAAATTAAAATTAGTTTATACATGAGTTAATTGGTAAAAGGCATTTGTTTTTTTTTTCAAAATATGGTTTTAAAATAATTTCTAAATCATTGTTAAAATATTAATAATTTTTTTATTCCTATGTTGAAAGAGAAATTTTCTCCCCTAATTATATAATTTTTTTAGGGAGGTTTCTCAAACCCCTAAGGCATATAGGTAGCAAAAGTTAAGCAAATATCAGGTTTGTTGACAATTGCTTCCTGCACCCAGTCAATTGCTTCTTGCTCCCCAACAAATTTCAAAAATTACCATTTTACTTTTGTAAAAATGATTTTCTGGATTATTAATTTCAGAGAAGATTGTAAAATTGAATTTTAATTTTAATTTTTTAGAATAAAAAAAAATCGTTTTGGGAAATTACTTCTAAATTGTACAAATCGGATAAAGGGTATAAACGGAACTTTATGCATATAGGGATTCAAGGGAAATGTTTGGTGGTGCGGAAAGAAACTACCCATCCAATGGCCCACGAGTAAATAATCTAC